TTGATATGGCCTAAACGAATAATGTAACATCCATAAAATTATCTTGTTTACGAAGGCTTGAGAAGTAGCAGAAATTCAAACAACCATTTTAAGAATTATTTTCCTTTTCAGCCATTATATCATCATATTCAATGACCTTAAGAGCATTAATGAACATACATGTTTAAGATATTCTATTCAAAATCAATAGAGAAGATTTTTTTATAAATATTCAAACAGAAAGAGACGTTGCTATATAAGAGACCTAAAAATAATTTACTACCTTACATTTTTCCGAATAACTGTTTATATCTTTAAAACATATTTATCTCCATATCATGTTTATTTGCTTTGATTTAAATGCTTATCAATGTATTCATCAATCTTTCATACAACTATCCGCTAGTGGTTTCGTATTTTTAATCTATTAACTATCAAGCTCAAACTCTTTCAACATATAACAATGAGTATGATCTCTTAAATACATGTTCTATTTTATGTAATGAAAATATCTTATGTCGAATATATGATATAAATGCTATTCTATCAAATCAATGACGATTATTTCATAGTAATATAAATATTCATGAAAATATTACTTCATTATCAATAAGTATCTCAACAGTTGGTTACATATAATATACAATTGATCTTTATTTAAACTATGATCAATCCTGTTTATCAAATACAAATGAAAATCGTTATTTTATTTGTGAAAATAGTTTTACATGAGGATGTTCACCAAATACACAGTGTAATTCAATAATATCAATGTATTCAGCTCAATCGCCAGTGCCCTTTTACCCCTTATGGTGGATCATTTTTACCCTATTTGTCAAAACTATATTGAAATGCGGATATTTTCGGCAAAATATAAAAAATAAACTACATTTTTTATGAATTTATAATTCGGTATATGCTCTATATAACGGCCAATATTGTATTGAAAGTTTCCCTAATAAAATGTATTATAAAATGACAATATATTTTCGATATTGGGATAAAATTCAAATCGTTCAGAGGTTAAAGGGTTATGAAATGATAGTCTCTAATTGGTTTGTACAAACAGACAAAATTTCAGCATGTCACGCTCAGGATTTAATCACTTTATTTAACCCTCTCTTACAAAAAAAAATAAATATAAAACGAAAGGAGTTGAAAAACAAAAACCTAGAAAGGAAATTAAAAAACAAGTTCAATGCTTTTTCTTTTTCAATATAAAAAAAGCAATGAGTTCATTGAGTCATATTATATTAATATTGAAAACTAATACTTATTTTCGTATAAAATAGTTCAAATAATTCTAATAAAAATCAGGCACGTAAACTTCTTTTATAATCATTTCATTAATTTCTTTAATATCACTTTGAAAAATGTTTTGTAATTCTTCTGGTAAATAATAAAAAGCATCTCTTATTGTAGTCAATTTCATTGATCGATTAGAACTCGTATTATTTTTAACATAATTTATTTCCGAAGAAAAATTTGTTCGCAGTTTTTGTATAACTTGTCGATAAATTTGTCTATATTTGGAATAACCATTTGCTGAAACAAGTTTTAATTGTTCACAGACATCTTTTGGTGAATCGTTTATATATTTGTTTAAATCAATAAAATCATATTTTTGTAAAATTTCGTTCGGTAATTGAGAAATTCGTATTTTCATTTGATAAATCTTCTCTTGACTTGATTCAAATTTATAATAATCATCCAATTCTTTTAATAAATCAATTAAATATTCCATTGTTTTTTCGATGAAAAGATAATTATTTTGATTGAAAAAGTCGTCTATCGATTGTAAGATATCGTCAATTTTTTTCATTAAAATTTTCTCAATTTCATCGAATAAATTTTCTAATGAAAATCGAATATTTTTATCGATGAAATTTAAAATGTTTGCTTGTTGCAGAATAATTTGAATTCTTTCATGATTTTCAATATATTTTCGAATATTTTCCTTATTTTGTTCGTATCGAATATTTTCGTTTAATGAATTTGCATAATTTTTTGTATCTTTGATAGTTGATCGTACAATATTTTCCAAACTAGTTTTAATAAGAAAAATATATTTTGATTTTGAAAATATTTCAATAGATGAAAGTTTAGAATTAATTAAATTAAAATCTTGTTTTGAAATAGCATCTAATATTGTTCTGTGTGTTTGTTCAGGTATTTTAAGAAAATCTGATTGAGATTCTTTAAATAAATTCCAAAATTTATTATTTTCAGGTGGTTTACTAAAGAATTCATCTAAACATATCAATGATTGGATAATATCTAATTTTTTTTGAAAATCTTCATAATTTTCATTGATTTTATCTTGTTCGATTTCGATTAGAATTGAATTATAATAACAAAGAAATTTTTTTTTTTAATAATCCAATTTTTTTCTTCCATTTAAATATTTAAAAACCAATGAATTTTCTTCTAATGATATTAATTCGTAAGAATATTTTTTTAAATTATTTGAGTGAATTTTGTCGAAATTAATTATTGAATTAAAACATCTTTCGATTTCTTTTTCAATAAAATTTCCATATGCAATAAGATATTTTTTTAAAGATTCATCTATCTCATTTGCTAATTGTTTAATATCATTATTGGTAAGATTTTCACAATGATTTACATAAATTAAAATTTGATTCATAAATAATCCATCAAGTTCATCAGGAAAATAAAACGGTTGTTTTTGCTCAAGATAATAATTTAGATCATTTTTTTTTCTTGAATTTTTTTCGACAAAACTTCATAATTATCAAAACCATGTTCATTTAAAAACTGAATACTTTTTAAAAGCATTGACTCGTGTTTATCAGTTAATTGAGTATATTCATCTTTAATCGTTTGAGGATTTATTGAATGTTGATCAAAACTTGTTTGATTAATTTTATCCAAATTATTTTGATATATTTCAAGTTTATCTTTCACAATATTGATATTTGAATAACCTTTTTCTTTTAAAAAATCATTTTTCTCAGATCCAGTTGTTAATTTATTTAAAATATGACCAAAAAAGTTTTTTGAAAATTTTAGAAGAATTGATTGTTCATATTGTTCAATTATTAACTGAAGTTCTTTTATTTGAACATCTAATTGATTTTTTTCGAATTGAATTTCTTGAATTTGTTTTCTATTTTGAATTTTTATATTATTCATTTCTTCATTTAATTCATTAATATTGGAATAACCAGCTTGCTTTAAAAAATAAATGGGTGGATATAAATTATCATAATTGATTTCAATTTGTTTCAATTGATTTAATTCAGTTTTTAAATAATCAAGACTTTTTTCTGATAAATTATATCTTTTAGAAATAGGTTCTAATTGTTTTTGTATTGCTTTATAGAAATTTTTATTGATTCGTTCTTGGCAGATTCGTAATTCAGGAAGATAACGTTGAAAATCGTTAAATAAATGAATTTTTATAAGAATCTCATTTGCTAATAAAATATTTTCTGGGCATTCAAGGTCTAAATTTAATTTTTTTAATTTTGTTTCGAAATTTTCCATTTGTTCAATAAATTCGTTTTCAATATCACGACGTATTTTGTCGTGAAAACCAGGCGAAATTCGATCAATCCACTGTGTCTTTCTTAAATGTGATAATAAATGTAAAAGTGGTCGAATATTAATTGTATTTGATTGAAAATCTAACTGATAAATAATTTATTGAATATCGTTTCGTAATTTTTTAATTGAAAAATGAATTAATTCGATAGTTCGATAAAAATTTCGATTAGTTTTTAATTCCATATCAGGTAATGTACGAATTAATTCAAATTGATAAATTAACTGTTCAATTGAATCAAAATAATAATAGGAATTTTGATTTAAAAATTCTTCTATTCTTAGAGCAGTTTCATCAACATATTTTATCAAATTTTCAATTAATTCATTATAAATTTCATTGAAATTTTTTATATGTTTTTCAAATAATTTTGTTTCTTTTGCTAATTTTAATAAAACGAACTCATTTTCAATTGATTTAATATCGTTCTCAGTTAAATTTGGTCTTAATAAAATAGATTTCGATTCAATAGATATTTTTTCTAAATGTTTAAGAATAATTTGAATAATTTCAAAATATTTTTTTTCAATTTTCTTATTTAGATGATCATTTAATATTGGAATTAATTGGAATATTTTATCAAGAATCTCATTTATTTGTTGAAACTCTTTATTTAAAACCATCTCTTCAAATGATTGTCCAAAGTTGTATTCAAATTTTTCGTATAACTCTTCACAGTATTTTATATAAAAATCCCGAAATTCTTGGAAATAGTTTTGAATAAGATGAAGATTTTCTAAATAAATGCCAATTGAAGGATGAAATAAATCACGTGTAGAATTAAGATTTTCTAATCGAATACGAAAATTTTCAATAAATAAATTATCCGATTGAAAATATTCCTGAATTTCTTTAATATATTTATATGCTGTTTCATATTCTTGGATATCTTCATTTTTCAACTGATGATGATTTTTTAAAAAATAATCCAGTTCTTCAATTATTTTATGAGAATATTCTTTAATATTTTCATTAATTAATCGTAATGAATCTTTATATTGATCTTCAGTGGACTGCTGTCCGATGATATCAGAGAAAATTTTGAATTGATTTGAATAATAATATGAAAGTAAAGCATTTTTATGCTTTAATGCATAAATAATAGAAGATTTGTATCGATTAATTTGATTGGAGATGATTATTTGTGTTTGTTGATTAATAGAAAATTGAAAAACTTCATCAGGATAATGAATTCCTCGAAGATTTTTTAATTTTTCAATAATATTTTTGATATCTCCATGAATAGGATCAATTCTTATTGGATCAATTCGTGTTTTTTCAATCATATCATTTAATATTGAGATAAGTGCAGTATTTGATCTTAATAAAGGATCTGAATCGATTCTTGAAGCTTTGATATCAAATAAAACTGCATGAATATCTATTTCTGATGGATATTTTGTAAATCCATATAAAATTGAATTTAATCGATTTTCAATTCCATGAATCATATTGATTAAAATATGAATTAATTGTTGAATACCTTCTCCTCGATCTCCTAAACTTTGATAACTTGATAAAGCTAAAATGCTAACACTTTTACAAGATTTCAAAGCTCTGATAACTCCTATACAATTTGAAATATCAATTTCTGGACTTTTTGTATCACCAAAACCAGGTGCATCACATAAAATAATTTCATTCGTTTCATAAGAACCAAAAATATCTTTTAATGAAATTGTAACTGGAATTATAAAACGAGTTTCAGATTTACTGAATGGACTACTTTTGACATCGATCAATCCAGGATTATTTATAGGTCCATCTGTAGTTATATGTTTTAAAAACTTTCTAGAACAAATTTCTACTCGTGTTTCTTTCATTTTAGTACCAGTAAGAAACTGAACAGTTGTTGATTTTCCACTACCTGTAATGCCGATTAAGAGAACAATATCTTTGTCATGAATTAAATCGGCTGTTTGTTCGGATCTTTTAATATATCGTTGTATTTCTTGTAGATTTAACGGTCGAATTAGTTTTAAGATTTTGTTTAAGTTGTAAAGAATAACTGAACAATCTTGATTATCAATTGTTCGATTTATCTCTTGTAGTTTTATTTTTATTTGTTCTGAAGATAAATCTTCATCTTGAAGTTGATTTTGTACTTTAGTTAATTTTGAACGAATCGAATTGAACATCGTTTCATTTGTATTATCATTTAATAATTTTCGATAAAAATATTCTAATAATTCCATTACAGTTTTTTCTGCACATTCAGGTATTTCAGTCAATTGATGAAGTAAATTATTTAATTCGATTCGCTCAGATTTTTCTTCATTTTTCGAAACAAGTCCAATGGATTTTCGACGAAATATTTCACTAATAATTATTTGAACTAATTGTAAATCGTGTAAATATTTCATTTCTTGTTCTACTGCATCTTTTCTATCTTCATTGTGATACATTTCAATACGTTTTTCTGTTCGTTTAATTCTCTCTTCTATCTGAATTATATCTTGAATCTTACATTTCTCAAAACCATATCGTAATCGAGTCTCTAATTCATTTATTTCTAATCTGTCGATATTCTTAGAAAGATACTCAATCGATTGTAAGACTATATTTTCACGAAGTACTTGTAATCTCTTTAGTTCATTTAAATATTCTCTCTCTTTTTCAACTTCCTCATTTCTAGTTTCATCGAGATACTCTTGAATTCGTATTTCTGTTCTCTTCATTCTTTCCGATAGCTGTGCTATATCTTTGATTTTACATAATTTTAAGCTATTTCTTAGCCGATTTTCTAATTCAAACAATTCGAACGGTTTACCGTTTGCATTAAGACATGCAACCCGTTTTGAAATATCTTCGTGTTGTTTCATCATCGCATACTCTTCTTCACATACAGTTAAGATTTTGTTTGATTTCATGTTCATAATAACTGCAGTTGCAAATTAATTTGCTATTAAGTGGATTAGTAGCAGACGATGATAAATCGTTCAAATTAAATAGCTGTTGTTCTTCTTAATTTTCTTATTTTTGAATTTTAAAGCTTAAATAAAAATTTAATTGTACTCTAAATCGTATAAGATGAATATATCACTATTATTTAATTGATATAAGTTTACTTGTTCTTATCAATTATGTTTCACTGGATCTTTGAGCAGTAACAACGTCGCAGCTAAGAGAATTAGTGGTTTGAGATATTTTGGTTATATTATTGAAAATGGTTATCTAAGGCAGTGCAAGTCTTCGGATAGAATATATAATTGAATGATATAATTTAGGCAAAGATTATATTTTAACGAAATCACAATAATCCAAACGGCGTGAATATTTCTAGAACGATAGAACTAATCGGCTTCAAATTCATGATTTTGAGGATGCGGATAAAATTGTGCAAAGACTAATGACAGAATTATTGCAAGAATTTTAAAATCTTAGCATATATTCCAGTATTATTTCTGCTTTGCCGAAAGATTTTTAAACTAAGAGGTATGAAAATGAATGAGACATAGTCAAGAGCTTTTGAAAAAGAGTTCCCATCCTCGTATAGTAAAAGAATAGGATCTTCTATTGCGAAGAACTTTATAAGATCTATATCAAAATCTTACACACAGATATGTTCTAAGCGAATTGAAATACACCAGGCATTTGTTATCTTGCTAGGACGATTTTAGTATGACGATCATATGTTCGATAACTACCATTTTTCATCATCTAATATATTAATGTCCTCTTTGAGGAAGATAAAAACGTAATAAATGCATTCCGAACGAATGGCCTCTACTAAACGAATTTCGAACACGTTTCGAACGCGTTTTAATTCGTTCATACGCTCGAAACGTGTTTTCACTCCATTGGTATCGATCTGGGCTGGGTATATATATATATATATATATATATATGACACGAAACGTAAAGTCCATCACATATAAGGAAAAATACGCAGAACGACAGAAGTGAAGAATAACAGTATATGAGAGAGAGAAGGAGAATGCATCACTATCTAACAGCAGAATATGTATCTTACCGTAACAGTAGATATAAATAAAGACGTACTTTTATCAGTACATATATATTTCTTCTACCAAAATCATCATAATGCTCGTGAAATTTTTTTTTCCAATACTTTTTATGAATGAAAGTAAGGAAGAATAGTAGTCGAGAAAAAACGACAGAGGCGAAAGATAAGTGGTGATATAGTCTCTTCACTTCACATATTTCTAGGTATCATCTCGTGTAAGTGTTAGATAAACACAACAACTCGAAAATAAATTGTTTGTGTTTGCTGCAAGACTTCCTTGTTATCTGTTAGCATATTTTCGTTCTATTCTACTTTATATGAGTATGTAATGGTGTGCACTTTGTGCTTAATATATATTATAGAAGAGGTCTGTATATCCGAAGAGCTGATAATATAGTCGAAATCTTATACTCATATTTTTACTTACGTGAGTTTCTGAAGACAAAAGTATTGATTGATCTGTATTTCAGCATCACTCCTCTATCACCGTTTCTATATTTATTTCATTTGGTATAGCATTACTCATGTAGTGAACCTAAAGACAACAAAATTCTTAGGGTCATATAGAGAACTTTTCACGTTTCGCTCCATTTCTTGTTACTTTTCGATGAATACTTCTAGAATACGTATAACCAGTTGAGGAAGACAATCGTAACAAAAATTTCACGTAGTAGAGTTGCGCCTGATTCGATGGAGCCGATCTGCACAGGTTAGGTTTTCACTAATTCTGAAAAAATTTAAAGTTAAATAATTCACTTTTGATCCTGTTATATTCTTAGTCTCAAAATTGGACCAACCTATTCTCTAAATATGCATTTTTTTGAGTGAAGCATACTGAGAGTAAGTTTAATTTAGTTTATCGAAATAATCTCACCTTCTCGGAGGCAGCAATTTCTGTGTACTTCTGCTTTTTCGAATTTTATTAGTGTGTAACTGAAATTCGTTGCATAATATTTGAGCTTGGAGAAATTAAGTACTTCGAATTCTGCCGCATGAATGACAACAACTCTGCTAATACAATACTAGAATTGGATTCATTTACATCTTTTTTTAGATAATTTACGATTATAATCATACATTTATATACTTTTTGGTTTTTTTTGAATACTTATTCGGTACTGCAATATTAATCAAAAAGTTATTTGATACTACGGTGTTTATCAAATACTTCGTTTGATACTACAATATTTATCAAACATTTCATTTAATCGGTAAGCAATCTAAAACATAATGCCTGATAAAATAAACTAGAGTTCGAACTGATCGAGTCAATTTGAGGGTGTGAGTAGGGAGATATACTGACACCCACACCCACACCCACACCCACATCCTCAAGTTCCTGAATTACAAATAACGACGATATTCTTTTGCATTTAGATACAACTCACAAATTCTACATTATTTAGTACACTTAACAAGAAGACATCAATATCTTAACTGATGGATTATTCAAATCAAGCAACAAGAACACAATATGACTTTAGTGATATTCAGACAGTCCTAGTAGCTCAGCTGCAAAAATCATGCCAACAGTCGCCTGAATTATTGTCGAAGGAAATTTATGTACTACCAGCTGTCAGTAGTAATGTCGAATACCAACTGGAACGGCAATTACACGAAGAACGTGATATTCATACGGGCAAACGTATTCTTCTGATTCCTTGCTGTATGAAAGATCTTCATTGGGTTGGAGTTTTAATCGAATTTCAAGAAGCTGATCATATTGTACGAGCTGAATATATTGATCCAGTAAGTGGATCTCATGTTATTGAACATTCATTACAAAAACAACTTACTGAAGTTTATCCATCAGCTATTTTTCAGCTAAAGGATAGACTTAAGCATGCTGATCAAAAATTCAGTTTCTCATTAACTATTAAAAACTTATTAAATGCAGTGCAAAATTCACATTTCGATCAATCATCAAAAACTTCACGTATAGATCAAGGTTCTACAATATCCATTGAAGGTAATCAAATGAATTTGCATGAACTTGAAAAAAGACTCAGTAGTGGATTAGCTAAATTCAATATATCTGATGAAAACATATTGTCCGAAAGAATCGAACGATCACAAAATCGTATTAAAGAATATCGAGAAACAGAAAGAATGGAAGATGCAGAAAAGGAGATGAATTATTTAAAAGAATACAAAATATTAGCAGAACTTGCTAAAAAAATCAAACTTATGAAATCGAATGTTTCTGAATTAGATACAGCAAATTTAGAAAAACAGTTAGCTGATAGTTTGGCCAAGCTGCGAATTACAGATATAAAAGCTCTGCCTGATAGAATAGCAAGATCAGAAAAACGAATTGAAGAATATCGAGAAGAAGAAAGATTAGATGAAGTTGAAAAAGAAATAGTAATTTTAAATGAATGTAAGAAATTACAAAAACTTGCTGGAGACATACATAATCGTAAGTTGACAGGCCATGATAGTGAACAAAGTAGATTGTTCAAGTTGAGTCAACTAGAACAAAAATTAGCTGCTGGTTTAGCTAGTTTGAAAATTGTCGATCCTGCAAAATTATTAGATAAGATTGCAAGATCCGAAGAACGAATAAAAGTATTCGAAAATGAAGGAAGAATTGATGATTTCGAAAAAGAAAAGAAATATTTAAATGAATATGAAATGTTACAGAAACTTAGTGAAGAAATTCGTTCTTTGAAATCGAATGTTATTGAACCGTCAGGAGTTGATGAATTAGAACAGAAACTAAATGATGGATTAACAAAATGTAAAATTTCCAATGTGAAAGATTTATCCAAAAAAATTCGACGATCCGAAGAACGAATCAAAGAATATCAAGACGAAGGTCGTTCAGAAGAAGCAGAAAATGAAAATAAGTATTTAACCGAATTAAATAAGCTTCAAAAATTAGCAGATGAAGTAGATAAGCTTAAAAAAACAACATCTAGTTCATTTCATAATTTTGAATTGAAACTCCGCGAATTAGAAGAGAAATTAGAAAGTGGTTTATTAAAATTCAAAATATCGAATATATCAGTTTTAACACAAAAAATTCAACGATCAAAGGAACGAATAAGTGAATATCAGGAAGACAATCGAATTGATGAAGCAGAAAAAGAACAAGAATATTTAAGAAATTTAGAAGATTTAAGTAAATTGGCTAATGAAATAATGAATTTGAAATCAAATTCAGAGAAACCATCGACAAATGTTTTACCAAAATCGACTAAGATTGCTTCAGAAGTTGTGGATAATTCTACTACAAGTATAAAACATGACGTTGAGAAAAAGAAATCAGATGATGTTAACATTTTTCATCAAGATTGGATTGATATGCATCCATGTGCAGAAAAAACTGTTATGCAACTTTTGGAACATTTTCAGCGGATAAATTCTAGTGGAAATCAAAATTCATCCGATCAGAAATTCATTAATGAAATGTTAGATCAGTTAAGAAAACAAATTCGGAAACAAGAGTTGTTCTCAGAAAAAATTCAGAAGAATTTATACGATTTAGAACGTTATGCATCGAGCCGTAATATTTCATTGATATTGCGTTGTTTAGTTGAAATTTTATCGCAAATTCGACCATTAAATGTTCATGAGATTGAACGACTTGTTAGCAAAGCTAAAAATGCAGCGAAATTAATTGCTGGCAAAGATATAATATTGTTGATTGGAGAAACTGGAACTGGAAAATCAACGACAATACAGTTTCTCAGTGGTTCAAAAATGAAAAAGACGAAAGTTGAAGTTGAGTCAGGAAAATTCTTAGAACATATAACGATTGATGGACCGATTAAAAATCCTGACTTGATAGATGTAACAAGTAGTGCTTTACGTAAATCAGAAACACGATATATTGCACCAGTAACAATTCCATTACGAGATATTTATGGTGCACATGAATACGGAGAAATAATTCTATGTGATGCACCAGGTTTTGATGATCCAGCGGGTCCAGAAGTTGATATTGCGAATGGAGTTGGTGTTATTGAAGCATTGAAAGGTTGTAAAAGTGTGAAGATTCTTGCTCTCTCAAGTTATAAGAGTTTAGGCGATCGAGGACAAGGTATTCAAAAACTTGCTCATCTTTTGATTAATATGATACATGGAATTCAAGAGAGGTTAAGTGCCATTTTTTATGCTTTTACTAAATATCCATCAAATATTGATATATCAGCATTGTTAAGTGAAATTAAAAACATTAAAGTTAATAATGATCCATGGTTACGATCAGACAGTGCATTTGTAACTGTATTAACAGATATGATTAATAAAACAAAACATGGTGCTGAAATTATTGATCCTCTTCGTGGAGATCCAAAAACTCTTGTTGAAAGATTAAAACATTTACGTGGTATTATGTATCCTTCCGAAGTTTTTCAATTTTCAATTAGTTCAGAAACTCATTCATGCGTTGCCAATCAATCACAACAAGATAATTTAAGTGTTAAATGTGCATTAAAACATAAAGATATTGATCTTGTTTTACATTATTTAGATAAATTAAAAGCATTAAAAGATTTACTTGATGTTAGTATAGTTCGAGATTCATATGAAGATGCAATAAGAACAGTAAAAGAAACTTTAACAAATTTTTGTACAGAAATAACAAAAAAATTTAATCGTTCATTAGCAAGTCAAGATGGTTTAAAAGAAGAAGATATTAATGAATATAAATATGCAATTGAATATTTTAAAAATAGTCAAAAACTAAACAAACATTTTGAAGAAGATCAGTTATCACCTGAATCATTAATACAAAATATGATTAATGAAATTCAAAAGAGAAATGAACTTCTCATCGAAGAACAATTATCAAGTTTTTTAATTGGAATTCATCTTAATAATCTTCTTGTTTTAAAAAACTCATTTCAACAAATTAAACCATTATATAAAAAAATTTGTCAAAACTTTCAAGAACGTTTGGAAAAACTGATTGAACCAGCTAATGAACTAATTAAAACCAATGAACTCGATAAAATTGCAGATTTCATTTTACAAATATCAAAATGTATACCAACGTTAGGTAAACATTTAAATAATTTAGTTGAAGATAAATATAAATATGTTGTTGAATCGCTTTTACAATATTTATCGAGTTTCCAGGAAAAATCTCAGTTAGTTTTAGCTAAACCGAGCTTAAATGAAAGTGAAATTAATATAGTTAAAAATGCAGTTAGTGTATTAGGATTAGCGAAAGGAAACGCTGTCTTACAAGATAGTATTTCGACTTATATTCAAATAATGAATAAGGAAACTAAGAATATAAAAAATTTAAACGAAATGTATAATTTATTAATTGATAATATTATCAATTATTTTAATCAAATAAATGATCGTATAAATCAATTGTTCCAACTCCATGGAGATTGTGCACTAGACGATACAGAAATCTTAATTAGTGATATGGATGCAATTCGAACAATCGAAGAAATTGATTCAAAAACAGTTGGAATTTATTATCGTACAATTGAATTTATACGTGGACATATGACTCAAATTCAAAGAGAAGTTCAAGATTTATTAACATCAATTGAATCACAAAAAGAAACACCAAATTATACAAAAATAGCACGATTGTTATCACGTATAAATAATGCTAAATGGATGAATCGTTTAAGTCCAGGTTCATATGATATTTCAATAAGACGTATTACAGAAGAATTCACTCACTATTTTTATGAATTAGAAGACCGTCTAAAGAAATTAGATCTAAGCATGAAATATCCAGAAAATATTCTTATCGCGCAAGAAATATTTGATAAACTTGATTCACTAAGTGTACTTGATCGTTTTGTACCTGAATTGAAGAATTCGAAAGATTTGATGATTCAACGTTTTCTTGACAATGTTCAGAATAATTTTGATCGTATGCAAAAGAAATTACAATTACAAGATATCGATATTTATCAAAGGAAACAAGACTTGATTAAACTTGAACAAACAAAACATGATTATGAAAATTTGCATCCAGCAAATGTTCTTCTACAACAAAATAATTATCCTGATATTAATAAATTAGATCAAGAAATAAAAGATCTTGAAAATAAACGAGATAAAGAACTTGAACATCAAAATGAAAGAAAATCAAATATTGAAAAAGAATTAAATAACTTAAAATCAAATTCAAATTCCAGTAAACAAGAAATCAATAAAATTCAAGAACGTCTTTCGATTCAATTAGATATTATTCATGATTTAGAAAATAAACATAAAAATATTTCAGCTCCATTTTTATCAATTAAAAATCAATATGAAACTTTAATAACAACTCATAATTCAGTTACAGACGAACAATTAAAACTTCTTCAACGTAGAAAATATGATAATATTGAATCGTTAAATAATATTATTAATCAAAAGAAAAATGAAATCAATAAACATCAAAACAATCCACGAACATATCATTTTAATGATCGATTTGATGCCGCAACAGCCGATATTGCATTGGTATATACAAGTAACTGTGAAAAAATAGCAAATATTCGTCTTAAAGAAATGGGAGCTGATATTCATACAACTTTAGCTAAATATATAAAAGAATATGGAATATTCCTGAATAACGATATTGAACGATCATATAAATTTATCATAATGAATTCTTCACAAGAAAATCTTTCAGAAGATTTAGAAAAACGTTTAGAACAACTTGTTTCATTAAGTGAGTATAAAAATGTTTTTAAATATATTGATGGAAATAAAAAACTTAATCATTGGCGTCGAAAATTTCAAGAACAATATCATTCAAGCTTAAGTCGAATAGAAAATTGTAAAACATTAGAAAACTATGATGATTTACATAAAGAATTGAATATTGTACAAGGTCTAATAAGTGTTGATCATTTCTGTAGTGGAAATTTTTTAACCGACGGTTTTGGAGCTTTATATCGAATTAATCAAATAGAAACAACTAAAAATAGAAAGAATCGTATAAAATAGTATGAAAATATGAATAATCTTATGATTTAATCAATTTGAATGAAAAGTAAGTTTAAACAGTTTTTGTTGAAATATAATTTCTAATTTTTTCGAAAATTTTCGATCATTCTTTTGATCATTATCAACCTATAACAATTCCTTGTAACTAGATGTTATACAAAAAAAAATTTACAAAATGTAAAGAGAAAGATAGACATAAGCGTATTATAATAGTAATCATATACATCATCATCATTATATATCATAATCATAAAACATCATAACCATATACATGAATATTGTTAAATTCATTTCACGACCAATATATAAATATAAAATACTCAAGTGGTTTAATTCTACTTTTTATAATAATATATACAATATCAATATTCTTGAGATCTATTCTAACATCTAGTTATAAGGAATTGTTAAAGGTTGATGATGATTGAAAATTCCCGAAAAAATTAGAAATTATATTTTAACAAAAACTATATAAACTTACTTTTCATTCAAATTGATTAAATCTTAAGATTATTCATATTTTAATACATTATTATAAAAAAAAGTAGAACTAAAGCATTTGAGTATTTTATAGTTATATATTGATCGTGGAATGAATTGAACAACATTCATGTATATGATTACTATTGTAATATGACTATATCTATTTTTCTGTTTGTGTTTTGTAAAATCTTTCTAGTATAACATCTAGTTATAAGGAAATGTTAAAGATTGATGATGATCGAAAGAATGATAGAAAATTTCCAAAAATTTAAAATTATATTTTATCAAAAACTACATAAAGTTGCTTTTCATTCAAATAGTTTTAAAATATATTAAAGAAGAAGATGATGCAGCTATTGATAGTATCTTGATTGATATAGATAAAAAAAACAACAAATTCAAGAGATTTATATAGTATTAAACAAGGTTTACACGACTCATTTTATAATTTAACAAAAAAAACGTTGAAAATTGCGAATAGTCTCAATCTTAATAGTGATTTTACAACGACAATTCGATGACGTATTCAACAGACGAATGCCAGTTTAGATAAAATTCGTACTGTTATAACAAATCCAAAATCTTAACCTTAGTTGATGAGAAAACTAAATCAGATTTAAAAGAGTTTGAAAAAGAATTAGCAGAATGTTTATCGAAAGTATTATTACAAGCAATAAATAATATTGAAAACTCGTTAAAATGAAATACTATTTTAGAAGTTGAGTTAAATACGGATAATCTTTTTAATATTCGACGTGAAGTTGATCAACTTTTGAATTTAGAATCAGTTACTGTAAAAACAAACGAAATTAAAAACAAATTAGATAATCTAGATAGTTATATATTACAACAAAATGATTACTTAAAATATACTCAACAATATCGAATTCATTCATCAAAAGATCTTATTTCGAAATTACACAAAGCTGGTGTAAAATATAAAAAAAAATTTAGTAAAGTTCAATCACTAATAATAGCTGAAATTCGTCATAATTTTGACACAGCTATTCATAAGATAGACAAAGCACCAATTGATAAACGTTTAGAATTAATATATCCATTACATGAAGCTTTATTGGAGATGCACCGGCGAATACA